ATAATATTAGTAAGTTAATTTTTTGTTTTATCCATCTTCCATTCTCTTATTCATTTATTTTGTAACATGATGAGACAGAATGTAAAATTTAAGATAGATGGATAAAATAAATATGTATAAATGCTCGTTCTACATGGCTATAAGAAAAATAACTCCAAAGAAGAGATGAGAAAAAAATTGACAGAATGACATGAAATAATGACAGCTATGCCTGTTATGCTTTAAAGCGGGAGCTATGCTCGGTCAATTAATATTGTGAACAGTTTTTTTTGTTCATGCTTTGGGCACATCAAATGGAACTGAGTGTGATTGTTTTTATTACAAAAAATATTAGAATATTCAGGAGGAAATTTAGAAATTTCTGTGAAAAAATAAAGCAAATAGAATGGTTGAAAAATATATTTGAGATAGTTTTAGTTGTGAAAAAATTTACACAAAAATTCCTGACAGCATTTGGAAAAATGTAGAATATTTGATTTAAAATGTGAAATATTTTTTACTAGCTCGCATTTAATTTTATTAAATTTTTGAATGAAGCTAGTTTACTTATTAATTCTAAAATTTATGCAAAATCATTCACTTCATGTCAATTGAAAGGGATGTTTGGACTAGTAATTATTTAGTATACAGCAATATGTATCTGAATCTGCCATTGAGAATAAAGGATTTGGAGCAGACAAGTTGCTAGCCATGAGTTCGATTCCCATTAAAAATTTTAATATTTATCAAATCGATCACTTTTAACTTCATTGCTGACGTAAAATTTAACAACAAGTTCAGCTTGTCCTTAATCCCATCAATTATCCCTTAACCAGCCACATGAGGTCCATAAAAATACTTCAGCTTTACGAAACTCATCCCAAAATCGTCATCCATAAGAAATCTTTCATAATTTCCATAGCATGAGCATTTATACATCATTTGTTGGTTTTCTCTCTTCTTTTGCCTACCATTTTACTCAAATAATCATTCATAAAAATGATTAATCGAATTCTGAATGATTTTCAACATAAAACGATCGCATCTAAGGAATTCTGAAGGTTATCATTCAAGACATTGTATGACAAGGTAGTAAGTAATGTCGACTTAAAAATAACAGAAATAAGATATGAAGATATAAATTTGATCACTTGCTCCCAAAGCGAAATAAAAGTACATAAAAAAAATATTGTTTTAATTGTTGGTTCCGTGGAGAATTTTATTGCCATGGTAGTTAAAGAATTTGAAAGACAGACATTATGAGCACAATAAATACAACATAAATCATGATGCTGTTGTTTTGAAGTAAAGAAATCATTAAATAGATTAATTTCGAGAATATAGCTCCATCTGAATCTCGTGGGAATAAGGATTATTACTGTTCTGTATAGATATACTACTGACATATAAGATATCTTTAAGCGACTATGGTTTAATATTTTTCTCTCTTTCTTTATCTCTTTACTTCTGCGTGTGTGTGGCTGTACAATGGCAATAAATCAAGTGACACTTTTCGGTAATAGCTGTATAGAAATTTTTCACATTTATTATGAAAATTGCTGTTTATTTATACTTATATCTTTTACTCTTGTTCTTCTACATTCTTTTACTTTCGAAATAAATATCAATAACCCATTACGAGATGATACGCAAGAGGCAATTTTAATCGCATAGAGTGCCGGTAGATCTTGGTTTATGTTTTTAATATTTTCACCTGTTCTTGAACTTTATAAATAATTTTTTTTAATAATTTTTGATAGTAATTCTAATGATTTGTAGATATGTTCTTATTTTTAGATATATTGCAGACATTTGAAGCTATTTGTACAATGTTTCTCATTACTAGGATTAAAATATGATTTATCAGTTACTTGTGATGACTTCAACTTTGTTATGAGGTATAAAACTCATATAGCTTTACTTTTAAGAATACTAGCTTGTTTTATGGCAATTAAACCTAGCACTCCTAGCACCTAGCTATCTCTGAAGGCACCGTGAATGCTGTTTTAGATTCATAGATTACGAATAATAAGATTTGTGGTTAAATTTGTGTTAACTTAATAATTCCTAATACTGGAAGATTGACTCGTGGATTTATTCTCCGAGAATGAAATTGATCATTAATAAGGTAGATGACCAAATTTGGCTGTTGGTTGTTGACAAGATTTCTTCATACTTAATTGATGCACGCGTCAAAATTGTTCGACATAATCTCAACTTGCCTTAAGCATCAAAATTCCAATTTTGTAAAGAAAATAAAATTTTTAAAGCAATGACATTCTTATTGGCACACTCCATTCCTATTGTTTCAAAATTTGTATTATTAAAGCCAAAAACTAAGTGAAACAGAAACTCATTCTAATAAACTTAATATTTATTATGCTGCACATAAAAAGATTGAAATTAGAGTAGAAAGAGAATAAAAGAGAAATTAATGATATTACACATCGGACCCACATAAACAAATTTTTTTTCTTGAGAGGGTATTAAGTTCCTTTGGAAATTAAAAAGTTCCTTTCTTCTTATGTCTGAAACCTTGTTCATGTTAATACAAAGTCAAATGGAAAACTTTTCGTTTTGTGTATCATGTATTGTACATGGATATTATTGTTCCTATACATTTCAAAAGAGAATGAGAGAAGCTTAATAATGCTAAGATTTTATTTACGTTCAAACTTTCTTCATATCTTTTCCCAACCTTTTTTAATATCCCGAAAAGCAAAAGGATTTCATTTTTTTTAAAGAAGCCCATAATTAAAATTTATTTTGAATACTAAAGAATTTTAGACATTTATTAATAGCTGTGCTTATACATGCTTTCATTTTGGGGTCGTTCAATGACGGAACAAGAGTTTTGGTGCTCGAGGTCGAATCTTAAATGTAGGACCCTAATATGGAATACTAGGCCTCGTGTATGCTTGCTGGAAGTGCGTCGGGCCAACTTCGATTACCCAACTCGTGTATGGGTTTTTAGATGACCTTATTAACTTTAATATTAGGCTTTAGAAACAGCGAAGTTGCTTTTATTTACATTTTGGAATGAGCGTGGTACTTAGTTGTGAAATAATTAAAAGAAAATTTGACAAATAGGATACACACTATATGAATTTAAAAAAATACATTTTTCTCATCACGTAATAACCAAACGACCCCCTTTCTTGCACAGAGAATAATTTCCTATGTTTTGCATACATATACACTTGTCTAACAAGAGTGGTAATTATTGTAATAATCATTAATAGCAGCAGCGAAACGGTTGGGTTTGTCGTCTTATCAGAATTATAAAATCAACATAATCAACATTTCTTTCATTATCGTTAACGACTTATAACACAAAAAAAATATTAGAACTAAGAAAACATTATTTTTATGCTTTGCTGGTTATGTCGCAAGAAAGAATTTCACTTGATGTGCTAACCGGCACTTATTAAATGTTGGAATCTTAAAGATACCGATGAACGAATTTAAAAAGGGAGGTGAAAATAATTTTTTAAACAAACCGCTTGTTAAGCGACCTTAAAAATTTGATAAAAGTATGTTTCATTGTTTTTCTTATTCTTGGGATAACTTCCGGTATTTTTGAATAATCTGTTTAGAAGCTGCTATGAGATACTAAGCTTCTGTGGGTATAAAAAGTTTAAGATAATTTTGGGATTGTTTGAGATGAAAAAATAAGTTTATTTTAATTGAAATAAAAATTGCATGAGTTGAAAATATTTTTCGGATGTGGGAGGATGTTAGATAAATGCAAAGAAACAATCAACAAATATTTATTTTCAAAAAAATCATAAAAATTCCAAATTTAGACACAACAATTAAGAGTTTAGCTTCATTAATGTCACATTTCAATTATGCCTCATTAGCTGTGAAATAATTAGAAGATTATTATTATTTTATATCCTTTATAAATGATGCAAAAAAATCATTGAATGGAAAATAATGAGCTGAAGTATTTTCGCGGATCATTATGTTTACCACTTCTTCCTTGAGTAAGCAATTATTTTTTATTTCGAGATTTTGAATTGCAGAGATTTGAAATTGTTTTTGTAGCAAATGATTTGATGTGATCGATAAATAACATGTGGGAGTCGCTATCTACTGCCTACTTTTTCTAGGCGTACAATTCGTGACATATTATTACTTTTAGGAATTTGTTTGTGTATTGTTTGAACCTCCTTATTAAAATTTTAGACTGTTTGAAAATCAATTGATTTAGGGACACTTTCAATGTTGAATAAATTACACATTTCCAAAATTATTTTTAAAACTATAAATTATGATTTCATAAAAATTATTTGAATTTTTTTAGCAATTATATTTTTCATTTCTAGGAGAGGTGGGTGACTTTTTTTATCCTATGAAATTTTACAATGTTCAAAAATGTTTCAAATAATTTGATTCAAAAAAGCTAGTCTTGGAAGCTAATCTAAACATTCCAAAAGTATCAAAAAAAAATCCCTGAGCTTGTATGCATTAAAATTGGGATTTCACATTCAATCAGAAAAATTATATGCCTAAAACACAAAGAATTCATTAATTCAATCTTAATTCATACAAACTCAGGGATTTTTTTTTGATATTTTTTGGATATTTAAAATAATTTCTATGCCTTAGAAAAGAGTTATAAATATTCAAAATTAATTTGATTTAAACTCTAGGATCTATTACAACTTTCACTATACCCCTGTGTTCTGAGAGCAAACCGGTAACCTATCACATCTTTAACACAAAGTACAAAGCAACACCCCAACCCCTATCACATTTCAAGTTATAATATAAAAAGAGTTCATCATCCTTTTCAATATAAGTTTTAAAAAACTTTTTCTCATACAAATTTTGCATAAAATTATAATAAAACATCATAAACTTTCCCGTGTAACAAGAAGGAAAAATTCCACAACTCATGCAGTATTTAATAGTAGCACGATTTTAACATAATTTAAAAATTTTGAGGACAAAAACTTCTGAAGATATCTGTTGAAAAAAACCAGATAAAAAAAATATTTTAAAAAATTACTTACATTCTTATTACACTCTGTACATTCTCATAATTTCGTGTTGACAAGAACCATTTAAACTCCTCTTAACACTTTCACTGTGGAATTCCTTTACATTCACACAAAAAAATTATTTTCTCTTTTCTTTTCGTTGTAAAATTCCTAACTAGTCAAAAAATATATCGCTGTTATGAGACACGAATGAGGGTATGTTAATTTACATTAAAACAGACGAGAGTTGAATTTAATAAACTTTAAGTATCTGTGCTCATAAAAAAAGTTTTTCTTTTGTTAAACTTGTCTGCAGACACTTTTAATGCACCTTTTTTATAATAATAATTTTTTTCTCGCAATTCACTACCCACTTCTCACTTTCTTCCTGCTTGCTATACAATTTTTTATCATTAAAAAATTCATTCACTTAAAAATTCCTTCCTACTCATTAAATAGAGTCTCTTTTTTTCATGAAAGTATAAAATGAGCAAAAAAATAAAACGGAAAAGAAATAATGATAATCCTTGTAATGCACGAGCATGCACTGAGACTCACAGGCACCGATGCTTTTTAATAATTTTTTTTGCGATGCTCCTTTTTTGTGTTTGTTTTAAATTCACCCTCAAACCTAAAGATGGGCAATAATTTTTCATTAACTTTTTTTTTCTCACTCCCTTGATACTTGGCTTATTTTCCTTTTATTGTTGGCAAAAAGCTTAAACAGCACACTAACAGAGCTTGCTTGAGAGACAACTGTTAATAAATTGTTAAGACCGAAAGCACGTTCAACATATTCTACCTCTAATATTAAACTGATGTTCTGAACATCAAAAATTGTGCTGAGTCGAGCTATCACGTTTTATGTTTTTTGTTAAGAATTGTTGTGAATTGAGAGAAATGATATTTCATACTCATGCGTATATCCAATGTTTTGAATGTTTTTGACGTACTAGATTGTTGTTGCACTGAATGTTTCCATATAAACATTGTGTCTTGTGCCTTGTTTTGACTACAAAAGAGAAAAAAATTGGAAAAAGAGGCATTTTTGGTGATCCTTACTTGTTTATGCTTTACATACAAAAAAAAACCGTCTCGTCTTGATAATATTTTACATCTTATATGGTTTTCTAATTTTTCTCACTTTCCACATGATTTTCTCATCCATATCACATCCGATTCAATCCTTTATCACGTATTTTGAATTTAAACATTTAATATATTCTAATTTAACCCTTTCTTTAAACTGAGTATCTATATTTATTTACATTTATCATGTACTTTATATGTACTTGTACCCATCGATACGAAATTAAATTTGATAACATAACAAACTGGAAAATTTTTCTTAAGCGGTTTGTTTGCGTTTTAAAAATTTATAATGAAATATAAAGAATTAGCTTTAAGCCCCGGAGCATTCAAGTGCACTCATCACAAAAATATTAAATTTGATTACAATGTAAATTTTACTTCTTTTTTTATTAAACCCCAAACAGTATAAAAGTAATCAGAATGTTCAGCAAGGAAAAGGGGTTATTTATGTTGCTGTTGATTTCGTATAACCCTCAGCTGTTCATTGGTTAGAAAGTATTGAAGCTTTTGAATTTTTTATCGTTAGTTGAGAGCAAATTTTGTTTTCATTAGCTCCCTTCAGACACGAAAAATGGTAGAAAAACGCCTCGGGATGATGATTAGTGCGCATATTTGTTGTAAATCAATCAGACGTTCAATAATTGATAGGTTATTGAAATTTATGATTTTTAATGAGTATTAAATATGCATATCGATAGAAATTATTCAATGTTGTGCTGCTATTAACATGATCAACCACTGTGTCTTTGTTGTGTTCACTGGCCGTACAGATTAACCACTAATCCTTCAAAAACAAAGTTTATAGCAACTATACTGTTGAAACTTTAATCCTAAAGATATTTATGAAATTTTTTTTACACTTTTTGAAATATTGGCTTTAAGTTTAAGATCACAACTTTTTTGTTGCATCACCATAGGGGTCGTTCACTTATGACGTCCGAAATTAACGGTAATTTTTCAAAAAAGAACAATGGATTTCTTGGAATTTCTATTGTTCTTTTCTTGCTGACCCCCCCCCCTGGACGTCATTAGTGAACGGCCCCATAGTGAAGCTGAATTGTTAATTTACTTGATGACTGTAACTCACTGTCAGATCATGTTGAGATCAATTTAATTTTTTGATCATTACATTTATAAAGTGTAACAACAGCACGCGTTTTTACGGCAGAAGTTGCAATTTTTTTAAGGATTCCAACGTCGTTGGAGCAATATTTCAATATATATCATTTAAAAGTAATAATTACCAATGTCAATCATGTATGTGCCTATTTATTGTGAAATTTTAAACAAAAATAGAAACCTACATGAATCTAATCTAGGTTTTGCCTAGTCAAAGGTATGACTACGGTAGGCACTGCCCAGGTAAAAGCAAAAATATTGTTTAATTCTAGGCATTGTCATCGGCTGCCCCATATAAGGAGCATAACTAGCTTTAACAGTACAATCATAGTTTCTGACTTGCTTAAATACAGTTACTGCAGATTCTCGATTTGATTAGGTGTTTTGTTCCAAAAAAATACAGTTCAAATCAAATCGAGGAGCCCTAATAATTTGAATCAAATAAAATGGAGTGGGATAAAATAAAAATTGTACAAACCAAGTGACAGAGCCAGCAACAGAGTCAGATGGAAAGCCTTTTGTTGAAGCCTTTGCTCCATAAAAATCATAATCTAAAACCACACTTAATCTCCAAACCACCCCAAAACCTGCCAAAATAACCGATTCTTTCAACAGCATATTTCTTAAAAACGAGTTACATTGAAAAATTGATGAAAGTTGTAAAGAAAAATTACATTGCAACTGATAATTGAATTCATAGGTCGTCCAAATGGATGAAAGTATTATGAACATACACATCAGCTGCAAGTCATTGTTGAACAATCAATAATGAAACAATAAGACACAATCTCAATTTTTACATCTTACACATGACTCATTTTTCATTTTTAATGGAATTATTTTATTTCATGGTGGTTTTACTTTCATCCCTGAATCCCAAAAAAACACAAAGTGGTAAAGAGAGTGGGAAATGCTAGCAATCTGGGATATGCAAACATCAAATAATCAACGGGAAACAAACAGAAGTAATGTTGAAATGAAATTAAAGTATATATATGTGGATGTGGATGAAATAAAATCATGGTCTGCTTTTTTTATTGCAACATCATCATCATTGAAATCAGTATCCCTTACTCATCCCTCTTTCTATAATGTATTTTATGATGGTTTCATTTTTTTTCTAAAAATAAATAACTATGTGTGGTAGGTTCACATCTTTATTTCATTAATGAAACACAGAGATATTGGACTCGATTTATACGTAACTTATTGACAATCGTATCAATTTCACTTTGTGATTAAATTTATTGTCATTTTTAGCAGTCACTGGCTTTTTCAATTTCCTCTAAGCTGAATCCAAAAAAAAATGCCATAAATGTCATAACAAATAATAGAATTTTTGTGTGTTCATATATTTATACACACGAATGGTGTGTGGATATGTGTATATGTTTATCCACATAACTGTTTAGTTATTTATTTTTTTTAGTGATTTGTTGATGGGCTTTTTTTTGCTCCTGTGATGTGGTAGAATAAAGCCATTTATTTTTTCAATGCCTTTTATTTGTTGTAATATTTTCAAGTTGCTCTGGGTCAGTGAGTAAACAATAGGCTGGTTGAGTAGCATATGAAAGGATATTAAATCGAGTTTAGCTTTAACTTTCCTGATAATTCAATGTGAATGAATTGTGATTCTAAAAATGGATATTGCTAAAATTTGTTGTAGCTTTTTTCAGAAATTGTATCTTAAGCATGAAGTGCTCCACTAATATCAAGAGAAAACTATTGGTCAAGACGAAATACAGTCGGCAGTACATACTATTATTAAATTGTTTTCCTTAAAAACTATTTAATTTTCCTTTGCATTTAGCTTTAATACCAATGATTTTAATATTTTTGAAGCAACTCTATAATATCTCTAAACTAATATACCTGAGCTCAGAAAATCTGAAAATTAGACATAACTTAGAATCGATTTTATTTTTTATATTCTGTACAGTTTCAATGACTTAACGAATCATATGAAAATTGTTGGAATTATAGCGATTCCATGGAATAGCCGATCAATGATAAATCATGTTACAGAAAACAATGTAACTTATATATGCGATTAAGCCATACTATCGACCATTCCCCGACCAAGCAGTTAAGTGCCTTTCTGGTTGAATAAGTAAGACGCTTGACTCAAATTTGGTATGGTAAGTCGAGATCTTCGGTTCGAATCCAGCCTTTTACAATTTTGTTCTTTTTCGGAAGTTTAGATACTTCGACTGCTTAATGCATGAGATCAAGCCATAATTGGGCATTTGGGCAATATTGGATCAAGGAACGGATCAGGAACTTGAAGTGTAACGGGAGAAATAGGAACGAGAGCTACAAGATTACCTTACAATGGAATATTGTTAGAACGGACCTGAAATGTATCACGTCACGCCCAAAGAAGATTGAAACGATAACCTGAATTTAATCTAAACCTAGATTTGAAGATTGGAAGCTTGATTCTACATCACCAAAATGATATGAAATTACCACTAATCAATATAAAAAGTAAACATGAATAAATACGAATTCTTATGGACATTAAGGTCGACAAATAAATAATAATAATAATTTTTTTTGTCATCTATGTAGAAGTTTTGTGCATTATCTTCTAAGGGGCCGTTCACTTATGACGGGGTGCTCTTGGAAAATATCTCTAAGATCATTGCCGATTGAGTTTGACTTTAGTCATTCAAATTTTTAATTTAATTTTCAATACTTATTCTATGTCACTCATAAAAATCTTGCTGCTTATTTCAAAAAAAAAAATAAAAGAATCCAACCATAAAAAAGCACCTGTTGTATTATAATAGTTGCAGCTGACAAACATTCCGATGTGTACTTGATGTATGTATACATATCAATATGTATTAAACGATTAAACATCTATTTAAAAAAAAATCACTAATCGATCCGCTTTGGAATGTTTGCATAACTTCAATAGCAACAGATATTTATTTATACATGAGAAAGGCAAAAAGGAAGAAAACGAAGGAATCAAGAGTGAAAGCAGCAAGCTATGAGGAGAAAAAAAATGAATAGAGAAAGTTGTTTGCATATACAAGGATAAAGGCAAATATTTAAATTCTTTTTTTTGTGCTTCCTCTAATCTAACAAAAAGATATTTGTGAGAGAAAAGAAATCTCGACAGTACAATGCTCTTCTCCTTCCTTTAGTTACCTCTTTGCTAAAGGAAATTTTTTGAAAGAATAAAGTAGAAAAAAATTTATATATAATTTATATTCAATAAAAAGGTCATGTGAATTCTTTCACATTATCCCCCTTTGGCATCGTGAGATGAATAAAAAGCCATTGTCCAAGTTCAATAACAACTACTTTGGGGATGAAAATCGTTTCTCCTTTTTTCTCTTTTCTTCTCTTCTTAGTTCTATTGATTGACGTATAACATGTGTATTTTCAATCCTCATTATACATGTATTTTGTCAGTTTGTTTAGCAAAGAAATTGGTGCTGTATGGGTGTTGTATCCTTCCAAAGACTTGTGGGAATATTAAGGTAACCAACATGAAAATTTCATAAGAAGAATAAAAGAGTCTTGAAAATTCTTTTATACTTTTACTTTCAGTTCCTAAGACTTTTTTTTTGTAT